CCATCCATCCATCCATCCATCCATCCATCCATCCATCCATCCATCATCTTTACCCGCTTCTTCCCTTTCTGGTTGCGTGGGTCACTGGTGCCCATGTCCAGCAGTCACTGTGCGAGAGGCGGGGGACACCCTGGACAGGTCGCAAGTCCCTCACAGGGCTGGACTTAAACCACTGACATAAATGAAGTTGGACAAAACAATTTCAGTAACTTTCATTATGAAAAGTTGAAGCTGCACAGGTGGCCTGCAGGCTGACTCGAGCTCTGTGCTGAGGTGTCCGGTGATATTTCTCAGGACTGTTTTCTTCTCAATTGCTCCTGGAAGAATACATTTTTACTCAATTCCAGCTTGGACATCTGGGTTCCCATAGAAGCTCTTCTTTAAGGCTTTTATTGCCAGTTCCTTGTGTGTTCTTGTAGCACCACTTCTATCAAAACATAAAAAATGGGTGAGGGGAAAAAAATAAGGAGGTCGAGAAATATCCAGAGATACATGACCCAAAATGTGTTGCATAAGGCTGTTTCTCAGTTGGTGGGTCAGTGGCCGTGGTTGTGGCTGAAAATGTTAAGGAAACAAAAACGCCCTTTTTTTTTGTTATTTCAGTCTTATGGATAATGGTTGAATTAGTGACTGAATAATTTTAACAAGTAAAGGAAAATTTACGTGTATCGACAAATTCAAACCCTGAAAAAAAAAATCTGAGGTGTATTTTTCATTTTAGTCAGGAAAATGTCCCATTTGTTTAGATGGAGGATTTTTGACGTAAAAATTGTACTGCAGCCAGCCACTAGGGGGCGCTCATTGTTTATGGCTTCAACTTCAAGCTGCCAGTCTTCCCTCAACATGTTCATGTCGGCGCTATCTACAACTGGTATTATTTTCATCATTCAAACTTCCAAAAGCCCTACTGCAAAGTGGCGTTAAATCAGAAGTGGCTGTATAACAAATTAGAAAGATGTTTGAATAATCGGTATTTGTTTACCCAGAATGTGAGGAGGACCGTTCCTGTGGTGGTGCAGCCATGAACTCCCAGGACCTTCCTGCCAAAGATGCTCCGCTCACGGTCAACGAGCAGGTAACGCTCACCTGCTCGTCAAGGAGCAGCTAAGAGCCTCCTCTTCCTGACGCTGACACATCACCTCCATGTTGAACTTCCTGCCTGATCTTTGCTCCCCCCCC